GAAAAAGAAATCATACAACTAAAAACCCTCCAAACCTTATAGTACCGGTTGGTCTTACAAACCGGTACTAAAGGGCTCCAGGTCCCCGGAGCTGGCTCGTGCCACGTGGTTGCCCTTTAGCACCGGTTCGTGCTGAACCGGTACTAAAGGGGGGCCTTTAGTGACCACTAATTAGTGCCGGTTATGTAACCGGCACTATAGGGCCTTACGAACCGGTGCTAATGCCCGGTTCTGCACTAGTGAAAGTCAACTCTTGGTGTGTTTGTAATGCCTGAGGACTGAACACGCAGTAATGCAGGGGAACTATAGAGCTCTGCTCACATGATCCTTAGATAACTTTTTTCAGTAAGTATCCAGAATTTTGATTTCTGCTGATGGTTAGTGCTCGAATTAAACATGTTTGATCTCAGTAATTCCGAGCTAGCAAGTCATGATTTGTCGCACGAATTTGTCTCGTGGATCTGTCTCATTGTACAGATGTTGATGAATATGTTGCCGGGTGTCCATTAGCTACTGAGGTATCCAAAAGTCCTTGCATCAAGTCTTTATTGGACATCTCACATCTGGCTTGCTGGGCACTTGCCAAGGAGCAACAGTGATTTGAGGCCAGATCAGGAACAATAACTACAACTAAAATAGACACTCACAAGCTTCCACAATTGTTTTCTGCCAAAAATCAAAACAATGTGTAGAATGGCTCCCTTTCATAATTACAAGAGGAGTCAAATAAATTTAACACAAATGGTCGATGCATGCACCTGGCGCAGGTCGAGGAGGCCTTCGGGTCCGGTGCGCTACATGCCTCGTTCTCCGAGCATGCTGCTGGATTGGGGATTGAAGCCAAGCCGGCATTAATTCCCCATCCGCCGCTACCGCGAGTGGCATCTACCTTCCTACATTCACATCCTTCGGTTCTGCCCTCATTTCCCTGTTAGATCCAGTGCTTCTCCCAGTGGTTCCCCGACGTTTGATCGATTGTGATGGCAGCGGAAGAGGAGAGGATGGTGCCGATTGCAGGTGGGATGCACGGAAGCTAGCAAGGCTTCGCAAAATCCACTCGTCGTACGGGATCAAGAGCGAGCTAATCTAGATACACAATTTTTTTTATGAATTTCATAAACATTTCCAAAAGCATGATCTTTTTCAAATTTGTGTTTTTTTTATTTACAAATTCATCAACTTTTTCAAATCCAAAACCCTTTTCGATTTTTAGAAGGTCATGATCGTTTTTCAAATTCATGAACGTTTTTCCAAGCCACGGACATTTAGCATTTCACCAAATTTTTATAATAACTAAAAAGCGACCCAGTTTTTTCACCCTGGGCGAGTAGCTTCCCAGTGAATGAGCGGAAAAAAGAAACGAGCACCGCATTGGATGATAATGTTGAGTCAGTTGGCCGGCCCATGTCCCATGACCATGTATGCGCTATACGAACATTTTGCCGGGTGTCGCTGTGCCTCACTTTATGCGAGACAGTAGCTCGGTTGGCCAACATGGAGCTGGGACTGTGCCGGCCCAATAGCCCCGTGGGGTTGTAACGCTGATATCACACGTATGTTTTGTATTTGTGCCTCAAAAAAAAAATTCTGTGTTTATATTTAAAAATACTGAATACATATATTACAAAAAGTTAATTCAGATATTTTTTTAAAAGTTTTCATTGCAGATTATAAAATGTTGATGCAGTGCAAACAAATATGCACTCGATTCTCAGAAAATGTTTGTACCATTCGAAACAATGCATGTGACATTTAGAAATGTTCCTGCATTTGTAAAAGTGCACTCCTTCCGTCCGAAAATACTTGTCGGATAAATAAATAAAAACGGATGTTTCTAGAACTACTATATGTCTAGATACATCCATTTCTCCTGGAAGTATTTTCGAACGGTGGGAGTATGTGATATTTTCTAAAAGTGTTATACAACGTAAAAAATGTTTGTGTGATGAAAAAATGTTTTCTACTATTAAAAAACATACAGCACATTAAAAAAATGTCACGTGTTTCAAAAATATGTTTTAACATTTTTGGCAAACGTATATACAATGTAAAAAAATGTTGCATAGTTGAAAACACAGTTTTAGATCATGAAAAAAAATGTTTGAGCTTGCATTTGAAAAATGCTTAACATGTATTCGAAGAAATGTTTCGAAACATGTATTTAAAAGATTCCTGATCATATATTCGAAAGCTGTTAGACACGCACAGAAATGTTTTACATGTATGCAAAAATATACAATGGATATGAAAATAGTAGGGCTCGTTTTGGGCCGAGGCTGTGTTACGTGCCAGCCACGTGTGTTCGTCGGCCGGCCCATGAAAAACGGGCCGTTTGGCCCTTATACCTCGGATAGAGAGAGAGGACAGAGGAGGGCAGTGTGGTACATTGTTGAGCTGAGCTACCAAAGAAAAAAAAGCTACCAACTCCGGAGAGAAAGGCACAGAAAGTCAACTTAGAAAGGGGAACGAACACTCCTCAAGCTTTGACTTGCAAATCGCAATTGCCGGACGTGACCCCGGCCAGCATCACACTCGCCTCCGTCGATCCCAGCATCACCCCCGCCGCGCCGCCCATTTCTGCAGCCACCGCCGCTCCCTCCGCCCCCAAGTCTGCACTGAAGTGGATCTCATCGGTGAGTCTCTCCGTCTCTTCCCCTGGCCCGTTGCCAGTCTCTTCCCTTTGTACTTCTTGAGTCTGACCAAAATACTCCATATATTTGAGGGGGGCAGAAGCAACGAGCAATGGCGCAGTCAGCTGTCGGCACGGTGCTTGGGAGCGTGGGCAATCTCGCAGTCCGGGAGACTACATTTTTGTGTGGAGTGACCCTTGAAGTGGAATTCCTGAAAGATGAGCTGATGCGGATTCAGGCCTACCTGAAAGACGTCGACAGCAAATGGAGATCAGGAGATGCTAGGGTTGCTATCTTGGTCACCCAGATCAGGGCTGCAGCATACGAGGCTCAGAATGTCATCGAAGCCGCAGCTTAGTTGGAGAGCAGAAACCGGCTCAAACATGGATTCATGGGTGTCATTTCAAGGTATGCTCGCTTACCTGGTGACCTGAGCACCCGTCATAAAGTCGGCGTTGAAATTCGACGCGTAAGAAGGAAGCTCGGTGAGATCTTTGCAAGCGCAGAAAATTTGAAAATTGATTTGGATACTACTGCTGTAGTTGAAGATGTGTATCCACAAGATTTTGGTCTTATGCACCAATGCTTTGAAGAGGATTTTGTCATGGTTGGTTTCGAGGATGAGCACAAAGAAATAGTCGACAAGTTAGTTGAAAAACAGAGCATGCTTAGTGCTGTCTCCATAGTTGCTATGGGCGGGGCCGGAAAAACAACACTTGCAAGAAAAGTCTACACTTCATCTAGGGTCAAAGAGCACTTTGACACGGGTGCTTGGGTGACTATCTCAGAAGTTCACCGGCATTGATTTACTAAAGGACATCCTGCGACAAATTGTCAGGGGCGGAGATGACCCCAGAGAAATCGATCAAGCTTCAGAGTATGAGGTGGGGAAAAAGATCCGGGATTCCCTACTCCCTCCGTCCGGAAATACTCGTAGGAGGAATGGATGTATTTAGATGTATTTTAGTTCTAGATACATTCATTTTTATGCATTTCTCCGACAAGTATTTCCGGACGGAGGGAGTATTACATAAAAGGTACTTGGTAGTTCTCGATGATGTGTGGGAAATAGATACATGGGAGCAAATAAATAGAATGGTTAAGGTCTTTCCAGATGAAACTAAAGGCAGTAGAATACTACTAACCACACGAAAGGAAGATGTGGCAAATCATATTCCAATGCCGACGCATGTTCATGCTCTTAAGCACTTGGATGACTTGAAAAGTTGGGAGCTATTTAGTACCAAAGCTTTACCATCATACAGAAGATCTATCACACGTGACGTGGATGTGTTTGAAGAACTAGGTAGAAAGCTTGTAAGGAAGTGTGATGGATTGCCACTTGCACTTGCAGTTCTTGGGGGTTATCTATCAAAGAATCTAAATACACAAACATGGTCCAATATACTACTGGACTGGACATCAACCAAAGACACACAAGTGATGCAAGATATACTAGCTCGCAGTTACAAAGACCTGCCAAATCATTGGTTAAGATCTTGTTTTCTCTATCTTGCATCTTTTCCCGAGGATTCTGACATTCATGTGTCGGATCTTATTCAATTGTGGATAGCAGAAAGCTTCATTCCACATACATCAAAGCATAAATTAGAAGAAACAGCACATATGTATGTAACTGAGTTGGCTCAAAGAAACTTGGTCCAAGTTGTTGAAAGAAGCAAGGCGCATGGATGGATTGAAACAATAAGGATTCACGATATCTTACATGACTGGTGCAAAGAAGAAGCAAGACAGGATGGTTTTCTCGATATCTTTGACAGAGGAACAGGTTAGGCTCCTTTCAATACGTATGTATATAGTTATATTTTTTGTTTCAATAGATGCGGTTGAGTTGCTTTCTGCTGATGTGTGGATGTACCTTAAAATTTGCAGGCCAAACAAATGCATCGGATACAATGATATTTTTATCGTTCTTCTTTTCAAGCTTTGAGTGATCAGGTTTTACATGCAACACCTAATATCCGGACTCTGCATGGCTTTGGGCTCTTTTCGGCGTCTCTGCCTAAGTTGAGGTTGCTAAGAGTTCTCCACATTGAAAACTCAAGGCTGAAAGAATTTTCTGGAGTACTTGCTGGGTGCATTCACCTAAGATATCTTAGGTTGAGAGGATGTGAAGGTGTGACCCTACCTTCTACAATTGGACTGCTTCTTTACCTGCACACTATAGATCTTAGGTACACAGAATTGGACTCACAAGTACCTAACACACTATGGGATATCCCTACTCTAAGGCATGTTTACCTTTGCAATGGCTTTCCTCCACCACCTGCAAATTGTGTGCGACAACAGCAGAAAGAGCTTCAGACCTTAAATCTCAGAATTTTTGGCAAAGAATATCATTATGATGACATGGTGATGTACTTGGGTTTGATGAATCAACTAACAACCTTCTCCTTGTCAATGACCACCATACCAGCAGAGATGATTACCATATTTGCAAATATGCCTCACCTAGTTGATATTTATCTTGGAAAATTTGGTGTGCTGGAAAAGCTGCCCACTGAGTTCCCAAGAAGCCTACGATGTCTTTATCTAACTGCTGTTGTCATGAAACAAGATCCAATGCCAGTCCTAGAGAAGCTTCCATGTCTTGTGGTGCTCATGTTGGGCGGTTATGAAGGCCAAACCATGTCCTGCTCTGCCCAAGGGTTTCCTCGGCTGCAAGAGTTGCAACTTGTTAAGTTTTCTATGGAGAAGTGGGGGGTGGAGGAAGGGACAATGCCAAAGCTCTGCCGCTTAACACTGTGTGTGTGCAGGAAATTAAGCAGGCTCCCTGAGGGGTTGCTGCACCTTGTGTCTCTCAATCACCTAGTACTAGAGTGTGTGCCACTGATTTCTGAAGATGACACGACATTAAATGAGTTGAAGCAGAAAAGATGCAAGGTAGCGTGACTATGCCCCTCTTGTCCTACTTTTATTTTCTTTGATTTTACTTCTATTTGCGTTCATGAGTTACAAGTCTACTGTGGATATATTCATCTGACTAACTTTCTACCAATCCTTCCTTGCTTGGTATAGTTTTGAGTGATCGATGGTTTCACACCAAGTTATATATATATTTTTGTGTCTTACTTTTCCAGGTGGATGATGCATGTATGTATGCATTCTGACGATTTATCCATCTTCTTGGATTTGTGTAGTTGCTTGGACTGCACATTATGTATGCATTGCGGTTACGGCAAACAAATCAGACTGTTATTTTTCTGTTAAGTTCACTCATGTATTATTCTCAGATCTCTCTTTTCATGGTGAGAACTCGCTATCACGAACTTCTAGACTCAATATGGTCACTCAATAGAGTTTCTACACTCAGATGTTGCAGATTTCTCTTTGGAGTCTCCCCCTTTGTTTAATTAATTATTTTCTACCTTGGAAACTGGGGGTAAATGGAAAGATATTAGCAAGAAGCAAGTGAAATGCTATGAATCAGGGTACGTACCCTGATTCATTCATTTTGTGGTTGCCTGAAGAACTGGTCCAGTGCTTACAAACTGACAACTTCACTCAAGTGCAACACCCCTTTGTTACTGAAGACAATCTGAATCGGTACAGATTGATTTCCTGAGAATTCTGCATTGGATTCAGGTTGCTGAGAAAATTACTGAAATTTTGGATGTTGTGTCAGTACATAGCTGAAGAACAAAAGCCATATTTTTCAGGATCACAAGAAGAACCACACACCCAAAAAACGGACACGTTTTCGCCCCCATTGATGCATTTACAGTTATCCTTCCTAGAGTACATATGAATTGATGAGTAGGTACCAAGAATTTGTTCAACTATGAGCTCCTGGTTCTTGAGGAACGACGGCACAAATTAAGTCACTTCGCACTCTGCTTTTCCGTTGGCACCCTACGAATAACTCCACTCTGATAGTCTGATCTAGCCTGGATAAACTCAATCGGCAGCGTGCCCTGCTTCCCGCTGCCTCTCCCCAAATGAATTAGTCCGGAAAAACCCCGGTCGGCAAAGCTGTATATGTGCAGCACAGTTGGTGGCACTTTTCTTGCTTTGAGGACAAGAGATGTGATTCCATAGTCAGATAACCTGCTGTTATTAAAATATGAAAGTGCACACACTGATTAACTGAATCCCGTAATGGTCTGCTGCATTTAGAACATGCTCTGACAGTACATTTGCGTGCAGCAAACTTGTTCAACCATTCCTTTTTTTTCCGTCCCGGTCTTATCGTTCAGCAAGAGACGAATGCATTTCTCCGCGATGTCGCAGATTTTGTTTTCTATTCGACCTTCATTTAGTTTCTACTGTACTCAGCTGAGCAATCATAGAGGACTAGAGCCATGGCATTTTCTTCTGCAAACCAGAGGAAATTATTTATCAGTACCTGTTTTGTTCAAGTAGAATATTTGGGAAAGCGCAAAATCTGTAGAAAATTTGAAGAACAAAACCAGAGGAAATTATCTATTCCACTTATCTTGAAAGCTGAGGATTCAGAATACCATATATAAAGTAGAATATTTGAAGAACAAAATCTTGTCCAGTAACAACAGCAGAAATCACAATCAACACACCTCTACTTAGAAAATTTTCTTGGGAATCTTCTTTTATTGGGTTTATATTTTTGGAAATCTGTTAGAGAGTTTTATTGCAGACTGCTT